CCGTATGGATACCTACATCCCAATATGGGTACCTACATCCCAATATGGGTACCTACATCCCGGTATGGGTACCTACGTCCCGGTATGGGTACCTGCATCCCGGTATGGGTACCTACATCCCAATATGGGTACCTGCATCCCGGTATGGGTACCTGCATCCCGGTATGGGCACCTGCATCCCGGTATGGGTACCTGCATCCCAGCATGGGCACCAGCATGTGCAATCTGGCACAGGTGCCTGCAAACTTCACCTCCACCCTGACCCTGTTGCCCCATCATGACTCTGTTGCCCCCAGGCCAGCCCGGGCCCTGGTGCGTCCCCCACGGGTGCTCCCCCTGGCACAGGGCACGCGGTGCCTCCAGCACTGGCACTGCCCCGGTGCAGAGCACCCTTTCCATGACGTGCACAGTGGCACCCAGGCCAGGGCTGCTCCCCGGGGCCCAGCCTGCCTTGGGCTCACCAGCGAGCACCGGGCATCCCATCCACCTTGGCATCGCCTGCTCCGCCCTGCACGCTGGCACGGGCCGCGCTCCCCCCGTCCCGACCCTGGCACACGGCTGCGGTCCGTCCTCGTCCAGCTCCGAGCAGAGGCCCTGGAGGGGCGCTGGGAAAAGCCTTTTCCCCAGCTGTGCCCGCGTCCCCAGCACCCAACGCCTGCAGGCTGAGCCCGCAGAGACAGAAATAGCAGAGGGGAAAGCTGCCACGGGGAAACGGGGGCAGGCAGGGGAGGCGGCACAGCCCCGGGAGCTGCAGGTGTACGGGGGGGAAGGCGGCTGCAGGGAAGTGGGGAGGCCCCAACCCTGCCCGGGGACGGGCATGCAGAGCCCCAGGGTACAGGGGCAGCCGAGTCTCCTCCTTCCCTCCGCCCGTGAGGACACGGGGACCCACCACCCCCTTCCCCATCTCTCCCTGCTGGCTGGCACTTGTTGCGGAGGCATGTGTGTCCCCAAGCACCAAGGAGCCCTGGGCCAGCCCCAAGCCTTGTCCCATCGGGCCAGGCTTCAACTGCTGCCCTAAATCCCTGTAAGTGCCCCCAAAGGGGGTGCGCAGCCCTTGGGGTCTCCTCGCCCACACCACAGCCAAAGGACACCCTGGGCTTTGGCCAGTCCCAGTAGGGGTGAGGGGTCCTGCTCCCCAGGAGACACAGGACACGGTGTGCAAGCCAAAGGTGTGTAAAAATTTATTTTCACGTAGAGAACAAACCCCCTAAAACAGTATGGCTTTGCCAGCCCTGGACCGGTGCCGGGAGCGGGGTCAGACGAGAGCCACGTTGCGGTGGGCTCGGGCACGGAGAGGGGATAAGGGAACACCGGGGACGTGGCCCTGGCAGCGCCATGAACCGCGAGCCAGCAGCAAGCGAGGGCAGCGGGGGCCCGACTGGCAGGGGGGCTCTGGCACAGGCAGGGACCCCCCCATCCAGGGACTGGGCACTGGCAGGATGGTGGCACCACCCTGGGGACTGTCCCCGTAAGAGATGCCGGCTGCTGCCCAGCAACTTCTCAACCCCCTTCACCAGCTCCAGGCCACGATAAAAAAATTTAAATAGACAAAAAAATACAGAAAAGCAGCCCCAGCTGTAACTCAGTGCTGCCCCACCAGCTGCCTGCAAATAAACCTACCCTGAGTGTGCTCCAGAAGCTGAAGAGCTCGCGTCATGGAGGCAGGAGCTGCCCCGGCTTGCCCCCAGCAGGATGGGAGCCCAGGGCTGGGTGTGAGCTGGGCGCGGAGGCCAGCACAGGCCGGCCTCGCTCTTTGGGACTCGAAGACGGGGACGCTGTGGGACTCTGGCCCCAGATTTGCCCTGGGCTGAAGTCACGGCAGCTGCCCGGCAGCTAAGGCTGGCTTGGGTGAGGGCAGGGGACAGGGGAGCTTCCAGTCGTACCAGGAGATGCAACGCCCAGAGCCTCGCGCTCTGGCCATGTCCCCATGGTGGAGACAGCGGGACAAGGGCCGTATGCCAGCGTATGGCACGGCACGCCGTGGCACTAGCTCAGCGATGGCACTGCCAGGAAAGGGCTGCAGCCCACCCTCAGGAGCACAGCAGGCACCCTGCGCCCTCCCAGCCCACCAGGGCTCCTGGGGCCCAAGAATACTGGTGGTCATCAATACTGGTGGCCAGGGGTGGGGAGGGGACGGGCCACGCAGTCAGGTTGGGGAGAAGGGCAGATGGGCCCAGAGCCTGGCACGCTGCAGGACGCTGAGTATTTTTGTGCAGAAACACAAGAGAGAAGGGGCCTGGGACAGGTCCCAGGTATCGCTCCCCTCCCTGGGCAGCCCAGGGTCCCAGCAAGGGCCAGGAGCGACCCCAAATCGCAGGGGCGTGGGGGGTGTAAGTGCCTGGCCCTTCATGGCTGCCTTTCCCAGCACTGGCAGAGGGAAACAGGGCCGGGGGATGGAGGTGTGCCCCGGGGGGCCGAAGCCATGAGCCCAGTGCTGCTGCTGTGGGAGTGTTGCCCCCCCAGAATTGAGGGCACCAGCACAGCCCTCCAGGGAAGGGGATGTGCCCAGCCTAACAGACACTGAAACACTCATGTTTGAGCTTAAAAACAAACGTTAAAAAAAAATGAACAGAGTAAAAGATGGTGGGTGATCCTCCATCTGCTGGTGAGGCAGAGCCCCCAGGGTGAGGGGATGGCAGAGGCCGGCAGGGTTGGGCTGGCCAGTGCTGGGGAATTTATCCTGCTGGTGCTGGGAAGTTCAGTTTCACTGGTCCTGCAATCCCGGCTGGGGGGAAAGGAGGATCTCCCAGCAGGGACCAGCTTGAGGCAGGGCCCCTCGCCGGGGCATCACTCAGGAGGGGGAGGCTGGTGTCACGGGGAGGACGGGGTAGAGAACAACTCTCATTTGTTCTTGGCTAGCAGGCGGTACAGCGTGAACCCTACCAGAGCAGTCACCGTGGCCCCCAGAGCCACCCGCAGCCAGAAGGACGCGGCTCCCAGCTCCACGGCGTTCAAGTGGCTGCAAGGGAAGAGAGAAGAGGCCGGTGAGCAAGGTGCAGAGACACGGCCGTGCAAACGCCAAGCTCCCCGGCAGCCTGGAGTGCTTCCCCCCCAGCGCAGGAAGGGTGGGGTGTCCCTGGGGGATGGATGGTGACCACAGCGCAGCTCCAGGCTGGGGGATGCAGCCCAGCTGAAGGCAGAGAGGAGCGAGAGGCTCCCCAGCCCCGCGAGCCGAAGCACCCACCGCCTGGCATCATCATCATCATCATCAAGGATGGCTGCCCGCCCTGCTGGCGGGACGGAGGTGGCTTTACCCTCCCATGATCTGCAAATAGCACACCAACACCTAAATAATTAGTACGAGCAAGGAGGTACGCATCTCCCTTTCTAGGTCAAGCTGCTTTTACAACTCCAAGTGCAAAGAGACCCAGAAGCGGATGCAGGCGGAGACACTGGCACAGCCGGTGACACCGACCCAAGGGCAGCGAGGGAAAGGGCCCAGTCCTGCCTGAGCGTACACATTCCCTTCCTAAACACGTGCTGTCCTGCATCAACGTGCTCCTCTCCGAGGAGGAAAGACATATCCATTATTCATTCTCCACTAAATCAGGGGAGAAGAGCCAATCCCCGGCCCTCCATTACGCCGTTATTTATTTATACCACATACCCTAAGATATATTAAGAATATTTAAATTTTAATACTGCAGAGGGGAAAAAAAAAAAAGTGTCAGCTCTAAAAATAAAGTTGTTTATTGAAAAGAAGCTAGAGGGAAAACCACTCACTAGTAATCCCATCCTGTCTTCCAACGCACCCACACGTTCTCTCCGGCTGGGCTCTGCCCCCGGCGTTGCGCCCTCGGCTTTCGGCCCCCTCCGCCCCTCGAGCGGAGCGAGGCCACACGAAGACACGTTCCCCTTCCCAGATCTCCCCCCACTGCCCATGAGCGGCCTAGCTGCCGCCCCTCCTCGATACCCAGCCCCTTCCAGGTGCAGTTCCTTCCCAAGGGGAGGCTGTGTGAGCAGAGGTCTCGCTTCACTGACCTCTTTTTCAAGTCTGATCCACCTCATCAGGAGAAAATAGCTGCCACCTCTGTGGGCCTTGGCAAACTAGGCTGGCTACTCCCCTTTGGCGTTTTTTTATCTTAGGCTTCAAAAATAAAAACTCCTGTGGCAGGACCTATCTAAGAAATCTGCCAGAGACGCACACAAGGCAGAAGAGAGCCTCCACCCGCTCTGAGCAGGCGAAGCAGCGGCCCTTTTGTTTCAATGTATGAGCAGACCACACCAAGAGCTAGAGAGAAACCAAACCAAAAGCAAATGCAGCAGAGGCAGGGTTCAGACACAGCCCCCCCCTCCTCCCCCACGCTCTGCTCCCAGTCGAGAGCCCCCTCCGCGGGAAGGATACTAACGGGAAGGTGGCGGCGGTGGCCAGCTTGGTGTAGACAGTGGTGCCGGGCGGTCCCTGGCCGTGGCAGGAGAAGAGGAAGGGCGGTGGGAGGCAGTGCTTGTAGCAGAACTGGCTGGGGGAGAGCCCGGGCTGCTGGCTCGCTTCTGGCAGGTCCGTCTTGGAGGCCACGAAGACGCAGGGGATCTGGCTGTCCATGTAGTGTTGCTGCAGAGACAGGGAGAAGCCCCAGCGAGGGGTAAGCGACCGAGCCCTGGGAGACGTGGGGCTGCCACACGAAGGCTGAAGTCCCACAGGGCCCCTGCCAGCTACCTTATAAAGACTGGCACAGTAGCTGAAGGATCTGGGGTCCCTCAGGTCGTAGATGAAGCAGGCGACATCGCAGGCTGCATCCGATGGCTTCACGAACTTCGTGTCGGCGCTGACCTCATACAGCTGGAGCAGGAGGGGAAAGGATGTGTGGCACAGCACCGTCTGCACAACCGCAGCCCAGGGGTGCCAGGATGGCACTGCAGCAACATGGGGGGAGCATGGCCCAGCCCTGCTGCAAGCCAGACACAGCAGCGATTCCCTCCTCTCCCTGACTTACTATAAGGTACTTTTCCTGGCCGTTGACCTGCACCGTGTTGATGGCGTAGAGGGATGGCTCTCCTGGGTTCTCCCTCTGGACCTGCCAGCGATGAAAACACCGTCTCAGACAGCAGGGGGCAAGAGCAGTGCTTGGGGGAGGGAGAGCATTTCACACTGCCCCGAGCCCCGTGGTGTAACAGCCGCTTGAAGGCCAGCCGGAGCCTGCCACGAGACACGGGGCCGTTCGTAACAAGCAGGGAAAGCCAGCATCACCTCGGGGAGATACAGCTGCCCGGGAAAGGCACAGCCCCTCCAGATCCTCGGGACAAGCAGAGGGAGTGGGCCCGCTGCCTTAGGCAAAATTAAGGATGCAAGAGCCACAGCAACCGGCCCTGCCAGCACAGAGGGCTGTGAAGCCCTTTTTGCTGGGATGCTGGGGCCTGGCCACGGGCAGGGAGGTGCCATCATGCGTCAGGTCGCCCAACGGCCTCACGGCTCTGCCTCCTGCTCCGCCGGGATGCCCTGCCGCAGCGCGGCCGGAGAGGGGAGCAGCCACTCACCGCGAGGCTCCTGCCGAGGAAGGCCTGCAGGAAGGCAGACTTGCCTGCGCCCCTGGCTCCCAGCACCTTGCAGAGGAAGACGTTTCTCTGGGTCTGGCCTTTTTCCAGGTCAATCCTCTTCTCCCGGGTCACTGGCAGGAGAGAGGCTGGGTGAGCAAGAGGAGGGACCTGAGCTGTGACAGGAGGGGAGGGCATGGCCGTACCCGTGAGGGCTTGTGTCTGGGAGTCTTGCTCCGAGAGGATGGGGTAGCCCAGGTAGCCCAGGCACTCCAAGCAGTGCCGCACATCCAGGTAAGCCACGAGCCTGGAGAGACAGAGCGCACCGGGAAGCCGACAAGGTCAGCAAGGGCTAAGCGAAGTGACTAAAGGCAGGGGAGAGGGACTGAGCTTACGTCCACTGGCAGAGGAATCCATGCAGGGAAAGCAGGCCTTTATCAGTGGTGCATACCGTGTTGTAGAGCTCGGGGCCCCAGGGCACGCAGGGGAAGACGCTGAAGAAGTTCTGCAGCTCCGTGGGGGAGAGGGCTCCGTCCTGGTCCTGCCGAAACAAAGGGGAGTTGGCAGCTGAGGCAGGACACAGCCCACGCACACGCCGGCAGCTCTCTGCAGCCACACCAAATGCTGTCGGGGTCCAGGGAGGGTCCCTGGCACACAGGCCACCCTGCTCGCTGCTGCAGAATGACACAGGGATGCTTTCAATCACAGAAATCAATTGCAAGCAAGGCCAGAGCTGTGTGAGCGTGCAGAGAGCCTGTGCCCCAGGGACTCCCATCACTGCACGAGAGACAGGCTGCTTCTGCTCTGCGATTGCAGCTGGAACCAGTGCCAGCCCTGCTACCGGGCAGGACCTGTCCACGCTCACCCCACAGCCCTCAGCTTCCCTGGGGCCAGCCACCCCGCAGCAGCCTGCATCGGTCCAGCCTGGCCTTCCCCGCCGCAGGGTAACTAACCCAAGGTCTGTGTGCGGCCGCCGGGCCGCTGGCCACCAGCTAACCACATGCCAAGGCAGCACCTTCGGGCTGGTGTGCCCCAAGGCCATGCCACAGAGGATCTGCCGACATCTGGGCACACAGGGATGTGCATCGACTCCGTGCTGCAATTCCCCGTGGCCAGAGAGCTGCTGTACCCCAGGTGCACATCAGCATCTCAATAACCAGTCCGAGCAGGTGCATGCAGATCCAATACAGCCCCTTCTCCCACGCTCCAATGAGCCAGAGTACGGCACAAATCAGTTGCTTTCTCTCCCTCTCTTCGGCCTGGCTCCCCCTCCGCAGGGCTGGCAGCCGTGCGGATGCTCGTGCTCGGTCCGTGGCTTCAGGGCAGCAGCTGTGCCCACCCCCTCTGCCACCCTGCCTGCTGCAGCCAGGCACTACGAGGGGCTACACCAGTTTGATGTTAACTCAGACCCATCCCCTGAAGGCCCAGACTTTACTGGCTGCCCTCTGGTCAAGGGTAGTGACCACAACCTCAGGCCCTTGACACGCTGCTGCCATCAGATGACCTACAGCTCGCTGTGACCACCTCCTGCTCCCAAAGCCTCCAGCAAGAAGCTGTAAAGGGAGCGCTGTGGCAGCAGGAAGCCCTAGAACAGAGGGGCGAACAGGAGAGCTGCTACACCCAAACCTGCAGGCCTAGCAGAGCATCCCCTCGCCAGGCAGCTCCACCGCGCGCTGCCTACCTTGTCGTGCTTCTCAAACAGCCGCTGCAGGAACTGGTAGCCCAAATGGTTGAGCTCCGTCGAGCAGCCGGGGGGAAGGCGGAACCTGTTGGAAGAGACCCAAGTGAGCCTCCTCAAGCCCTGAACGAAGGGCAGCATGCGAGCGGGTCTTCAGCCAAGCCAGATCTCACCCAGAACACACAGCTCCACACTCCCTCCCTGCTCAAGTCCAGTGGTTGTCTCCAGGCCTGCCTATCCCTTGACACAGCCCCCCTTGTTTTGGGGAGGAGCCCTCGAGGGTGCACAGTGGCTTCTCCTCGGCACATCCACGCTGCCCAAGCAGCCAGAGAGATGACGTAGCCCTCGCTCTGCCTCGTGCCCAGGGCTTCAGAAGGGCACAGCACTACCCCTGGGGTGCTTTCCACCAGCATGGGCCCTGTCGCCTCCCTGCGCAGCCTGCTGTCTGGGGAGAGGATGAGGCAGCTCACAAGCCAAACCCTTTCATTACTGCCAGATCACCACCTCCGGGGTGGCAGGGAGCAGAGAGGAGACAGCAGCTGCAGAATCAGCCGGGAGGGCTATGCTGACAGCTCGCTGCTCCTGACAGAGCCGTTCTGCCTCAGCTCAGGCAGAGACAGAACAGCCTTCAAACACCCCTTGCTGATGTCAAGGGAAGTCAGCGACAGGCCTGCATTCCCCACCTCCTTGCCCGCCTACATCAGAGCCAGCAGCGCAGTCAGCAGCTCCAAGGACCATTGTATTCATTGCCAACCCCATGTGTCAGCTCCTGCCCATAGGGGAAGGTGAGGAGCATGAACCTGACCAGGCTAAGGGTCCTCAGCTGAGGAATGGGGTAGACCCCAGGGTGCAGAGAGGAGCCAGCAGAGGTGCTGGGGAGCCCAAATTGCACACCACGGGGATGTCACACCCTGCCCGCCCCACGCCACGGCAGGATACACACTGTGGGTAGAGATAGTCATCTGTCAGCTCCAGCTCGTCGTCGTATCCAAAGCGGCGAAGGATGGTCCAGGTGGTCTCGTGCCGGCCCCTCTGGATGAAGAGTGTGTTGAGGAAGAGGAAGCCTGTGGGAGAGATCAGGTGGCTCAGACACAGTGGGGCCAACTGAGCACTCAGCCTCAGGGATCCGCTCCTTGGGACCATGCTTTTCCTGGAAAAATAGGCTGCTGGGACAGAGCTCTAGTAGCCACAGCAGGCTCAGGCTTGCTTTGACAAGAGGGAATAATTAGGCTTGGAATGAGAGCAGAGAGGCTCAGCTCGAGGACAGGGCCCCTCACAATGTGCTGAAGGAGATGGGTCCCTCCACCCTTCGCTGGGAAAGGACATGGAGCCCTTGTGCCGTTACCGTTCAACGTCAGGCCGTTGTCCTGCACCCCATCTGTGGTGTTCTTCCACACAACCATCTTGACATCTTCCAGGGCCTGGGGAGCCAGTGGGTTTCCAAAACACGACTTCTACCTCCCAAGAACAAGAAGATCACCATCAGCAAAGCACACAGAGAGCATAACCCTCTGTCTCGCCAGCATCCCTCTTCCCTGGAAAGGAGACGGTGTTTCTAGGAGAGAAAATCCACCCAGCTCAGGGATTACTGCCTTAGACCTTGACCAAATCCCTGTTCTTCAGTATCCCAGTAACATATGACTCTCAACATCTCCAGAGCCTCCTGCTCTTCCCACTGCAGAGCAGGCAGAACAATAGAAGTACGGAATGCCAACAGGACAGCTGTGTCAGGAGAGGGGCAGCCTTTCTGCCTGGCATTGGATGGAAAGGGGACCCCAAGGGCTTTCCACAAGGGACTGGGGAATCCCTCTGCTCTGCAGCCAGCCATACCTGGAAGTAGTTGAGTTCATCATCGCTAAGGATCTGGTTGTTATCTTGGTCTGAGAGGTTGAAAATCCGCGTCAGCGCTCGTGCACACGCAGGTTTCAGCTGCAAGGGACCAACCATGGCAACAAGAACAGGGCATCACCTTCAGTCTGGCCCTTCCCCTTGCCTCCTGAAACCCCATGCCAGAGGCATTCCCTTCCTGCACTGGCTGGGAACATGGTCCAGCTCGGCCAGTACCGCAGCCACCTCGGAGGTGGGAGTCGGAAGCAGGACAGCCCACGGGGAAGTTTTCTCCTGGACCCTTCCCACCATGGCTGCCACACGGGCTGGAGCACCAGGGCTTCTACCCCAACATGCCCCCGGTCCTTGCAGATCTGCAGATCTCTCTGGCCTGGATATACCCAGCTGGCTACGCTGCACATGGGAGAGGAGTATTTTCCCCTCTGTCGGCTCCCCCCAGAGGCACTGCTTTCCCCTTGTTATGGCTGCCTCGGCCCAAACTTTCCACCCACCTACCCAGGGGCAAAAGCACAGCACCAGAGCTGAGCGCTGTAATGGGGAGGAGATTCCTCCAGGGGCTGTGAGCAGCCCTTCCTACCTGCTTCTCCTCTGGGTCATAGAGGGGGGCGGTGGGGTGCAGCACAGCTTTCTGGGCATAGTAGAAGAGCTCAGAGATGTTCTTGAGGTTCTTGGCAGAACACTGGGGATTCAAAGGAAGAGACAGCCCTGTAAGCGGGGACGGGTGATGGGCTGGTGACAAGGGGCAGGAGAAGGACAATATGAGCTCCCCGAGCCAGACAAGCTGTGCATCAAAGCCCAGAGCGATGTCTGTCCACCATTAGGAAAAAACAAAATGGAAACCTCTGGCTCGCACTCTGACTTTGCTGCACCCATTCCACAGCTCCGGAGCCACCAGGGGCTGCACGTAGCTCCGACACCAGTTACAAGCTAGAGAGCTGGAGCGGACAGACACTGAAACCCACCCCCTGCGAGGAAGGCAAAGGACAGAAAGCCTAAAGCAAAGGCCCTCAAGACCCAAACAGGGGTACATCTGCAGAGCAACATTAGCAGGGCAGACCTCTTCGTGCTCGAAGGCTCCCTGGCTCACATCAGACAAGCAGCCCTACCCCTCAGGGAGGCTTTGCAGAAACCCCCCGGTTCCCTCACCTCCACGCAGGTCTCGATCTCCGAGAACTGGTTCATGATGGGCAGGATGACATCCATGGAGCTCCCCACCTGCAGGTCAGACTTGTTTCCCACTAAAATAATGGGGATCCTGGGAAAGAAAGACAAAGAATCAGAGACCACAAGTGAGGCCATCCCTCTCTTGGTCTCAGCGCTGCCCCCGCCACGCGTGCTCCCAGGCCCCAGGCAGCAAGCTGGGGAGCCTCCCCACCCTCCTCCGCAAGGTCCACAGCAGCTTTCCTGCCTCCCACGGCTGGGAGCATCCATCTGGAGAAACAGACTGCCTGATCCCGCTGCCGCTTTCACCCAGCAACAATATGTTCAGGAGCCTTTAATCCAGCACAGCAGCCTTCTGCCTAAGCAATCCAAGCACAGATTGCGGCTTCTGTGCTCCCTTACTCCCTTGGCAGCCTCTTCTCCCTGCCTGGCTGAGGAGCGATCAAGGGGGGAAGGAACCCACTCCCGTGGCCCTCTGCCTCAGCCAGATCTGTGAGGGAAAAAAGCCCCCACGTCCTTCTGCTACCAGTGGTCTGGCCCCAAGGTGGTGGGGACCCTGCAGCCTCCAGAATCCCCCAATTCTGCACCCGCAGAGCACATCACACATGGTACCTGGAGCCCTTTTCAACTCCTCCGTTCACCATGGGGATCCACTTTGTGCGAATCTGAAAGGCGAGCACAGGGAAAGGCCTGTCAGCGCAGCCTGGGGAGGGAGAGGCAGCTCCCAGCACAGCTCCCAGCACAGGCGTGGCGGCCGTCAGCAGGGCCCTGCAGCCGTCTGCTCCCTGGCATTCCCCCGCACCAGCAGGCAGAGCAGACCCAGGGATGCTGGCTGCCAACAGGATGATGCAACAAGCCTGCTGCCCCCCAGCATGTGAAGGCAACAGCCAACATAGGAGCAAGCTTGGGCTGTGCTCAGCCTGTCTCTGCTTGCAGGCGTCCCCATAGGGCAGGAGGGCATCAGCACCCACCCAGATCAAAAAGTCAGGGCAGCTGGGAAGGACCCGGTGCTGGGAATCCTTTTCCCTCCAGCACTGCTGCCAGAGCGGGGCCGCTCAGGGCTCTGGTGGGGGACCTGTTACCTTCTCAATCGTGGCCTCCTTGGTGACATCATACACCACGCAGACCACGTTGGCCTGCAAGAAAGAAGCGTCAGAGCGTGGTGAGGGAGGGTCCCTGTGGTGCACTCACTGCAGCGGGGAGGCAGCCTGAGCCCCAGGCACAGCTTTGCCATAGCCGCAGGCCGGCCCCACAGCCAGGCAGCTCCAGCCCCAGGCTGCTGTCACGCTTGCAGCAAAATCCAGACGTGATGGCTGAGCATGCGTGAGTGTGCACACACACACACAAGCAGCCCTCCAACAGTGACGACTTGCCTGCTCTACAATGGGCTGCTTGGGGTAAAGACTGGCTCCTCTGCTTTGGGAGCTGCCGCAAGCACATCTGCCTCCATGCCTGGCCCCCCAGTTCCCTGCTCCCACACCTCACTGTCCCCCTGTGATGGTTCTGCCCGTGCCCCGTGCTGGGCCGGCGGCCGCTGCCCTCCCCGACCCCATGCAGACAGCGCTGACACCAGCGCTTTATTTGAAGCAGACAGGAGGGATCACTGGCCCTTTCAGGAGAGAGTTTAGCGCTAATCCCGAGGACATACAAGGGTTTAGGCAGGATTTCCTGGAGCCATTTTAAGCCCCTGTATATTCTTTCTGTCTGGGTGGAGGGAGCAGGACCCCCGTGCCCACCAGCCCACCTCCTTGGCTGTTAGCCACTGAGGTGGAGAGATTAAATAGCTTTGCTCATGTGCGGTGCACAGAGGAGAGAGTTTTATTATCCGTAATCAAGAGATCCTCCTCTGTGCAGAGCTGAGGTTAATCCTAGGGCAGAGAAGAGCAGCTGGGCCCACCCCAGCCAGCCGGCTGGATTATTCCTCCATGGCTGCTCCGAGGGATGTGGGAGCCCTTGTCCCTCCCTGTCCAGCACTCCCCGGGACTCCCAGCTCCCAAGCCAACTCTTTTCTGCCACTGCTTCATCAGGCAGTCACAGGGAGCTAATGTAGGGAAGCAGGGGGGTCTTGCCCAAGCTCGACAACTAATTCTCCCCTCTTGCAAGTCCATTGGGAACATCCCGAGGCTAAGAGCACATCATCTGCTCAGCAGCCTCCTCCACCGCCTGGTGGGCAGCAAGCTGCCCCCCACGTCTCTCCTTCTGGAGGCTCCCTAGAGGGCTAGGACAAGCCACATACAACAGCTTACAAGACAGAGAAGGATTAAACAAACCTCTAAACAAACTGATAGCATTAATCCACAGATAACCAACTGCCTGCACATCCCCGGGCGGCTAATGGGGAGAGCCTGCAGCCATGTGTTGTCACTTGCCAGCTGCAGGGCTAACAGGCATCACAGGCTCCTGTCACACAAGACCCCCACCCAGCCCCGCTCACCTTAGCGATCTCTTCCTGCAGCTCA